ATATAATTTTATATTACATATTTGATGTATTTCTATAGAATTTATTTAATTTGTTTAATTAAATAATTTAGAATTTATTTAATGCAAATCATTTATTTTATATTTATTTGCATATTTTATATATTTTTATATATGTATATATTTATTTTAATTTATATATAAATTATTTTTTAAATATTTTTTATTTATTTATAGATTTTTGTAGATTTTATATTACATATTTTTATATTGGTATGTGGTTTATTTTATATATAAATAACGTGTTATTAAATTTGTCATTTGTGTGTTCTCAGTATTACTTCACCGCAGAGTTCCCAGCCGCTCGCATCCAGACGCCGCTGCCCTTCGCCGTCGGAGACAACCGCACCTACGACAGCTACTGGAACCTTCCTCTGCTGCCACACAAGAGCTACAGCATCTACTATCAGGCCGTCAGCACAGCCAACGGGGTGAGGACACACTAACACTCGCACAGCTTCAGATTCACGGTGTGATTGACAGACAGCATGCTCCTGATCACGGAGTAAAGCAGCAGCATCTGAGGAATCACTCACTAACTCTCAACTTTAGTACTTTAGTGCTGGTAAACAAGAGTAACTATAATCATAAACATGTATTATTTCAACAGCTGTGATTGTCTCTGAAGGAGAAAAGCAGTCGTTATATGAGAGAAACTCAAGCAGGTAATTAGCAGTCAGTGGGCCGAGAATAATTTAAACGCTGCCCTTTACAACGAAACCAGACTCCATTTTTTATTATTATTTATTGCGACGCACCCTTAAAGTGGAACTTTTTCTCACTCTGATGCACTTAATAGTCTTGCAATTAAAATGACAGCATATTTATATATTTTTATATCATTTATTATGTATATAAATAAGCAATATATAGTATATATATATATATATATATATATATATATATACACACATACATACATACACATATATGAACGTGCAAAATGCAGTAGTAAAGTAGTGCAAGAAAGGATGCTTTTAAACA